ATAATAAAAATGCGAAGATATTCTGACTTTAAAAGTATTTTAGTATTTTACACAAGTCAAAATTTTAATCGCAAAAATATCTACATTATTCGAAGATTTAATATTATAATCTATTAGAAATTTTCTATTAGATAAAAAACACTGAAATCTTAACTTGTATTATCATTATTTTTATCTTTTTACAAATAATTTTTTTTACATACATACGCAAATTTATTAATCTAACAAACTCATTATCTATATAGAATAGGAAAAGATATTAAATTATTCTATTAATTTGTTTTTATAAAGCTTTAAATCTTTTTACATTCAAAATAAGAATAGGTTTTCTATTAGAATATTATATACAAAGTAAGAACAAAAGATTTCAAAATTTCACGTTCAAATTGCGAAAATTTAAATATCCATTTAATTCTTATATCTATATTATTCCATTGTTTTTATTATGTATTTTATTTTGCAACTTAAGTTATGTTGTTACTTGGAAATAATATTCTTACTTTAAGTTTGATAATAGTAAATTGCAAAGAGGTTGTAACAGTGCACTTTATATCTTATTCAAATTATCATTCTTTTCTAAATAATAAAAAATCAAACACAGAAGTTATTTCTATCAAAAAACTGAAAGATAGATTTTAATAAATTATACTAAATTATAATAAAAAATATATAAGAAAAGAATATTGTATATAAAAAAAGATTGTGATGTATATATGAATGTTTTATAGTATGTTCTTTTGAATTTACTGTACTTTCAAAAGTTTATCATTTATTAAGTTTTTTTTGTAAACAAAATGGTATAATATATAATATTACATACACATATATACACACACACATGTATATATAAATATGTAGTATATTATATAAAATTTTATGGTAAGTCTAATGCTATTGTGCATAGATACTTTAAACGAATTATGTAAATTGTGAAATAAATAACTACCCTTATTTCAAAAATTATATGAACATAAAGCGCATTGATAACAACAGCAAATTTGTAAGAATGTATTTCTTATATTCTATAACCTTTTTTTTTTCATTTAATCTTTCTATTGTGTACATACACACAATACAAGTATTTATCTGTAACAGATAGTAAAAGTATTTTTGTACAGATGTTTCATTTTTTCATAAATTTTTGTAAATCGTAATGTATTTGTAATGTGAAGTTATAATTATAACATACATTATCGATGTAAATTTAAAGTTTATTTATATGTATGAATGTTGCAAAATTTTAATTATTTGAATCTTTCAAAACTTATACTCAAATCAAATAATTCTTACAATCAGTTCGTTAAAGATTTATAAAATTATAGTGCCTAATATAAAGTATAATTAAAACTTAAAACATTTACTATGAACTATTTATTATGATAAAATAGAAATTTTACTCATTTCATTGAATTTTTTACTATAAAAAAATAATCGATGAGGATATTTACAGTTGTATTATGATTGCATTACTTTCTCATGTAATTATAAATATTCTAATTTATGTTAGTAAAAATATAAAAGAAATTACTGCCATAATTTTCAGAACTTTGGAAGATACAATTTCAATGTTTTTACATCGATTTTATTCAATTTTTAGAAATTAATATTTTTTTCATAAATAACTGTCAGATTATTAAATGTTAAATAGAAATTATTAATTTATCTTCAGATTTTGCCTAGTGCAAATTCAATGGATTTTATATGCTAAGTACATAAAAACATTTGACATCTATCATTATATGTTAAATCGACAAAATCATACTGATTATAAAATATATAGTGAGATTTTTATTTCTTTTAACTTCAATAATTCTACGTACGAATAAGATATCAATTGTGTTTATATTCTTTTAAAATAAAATTTATTGAAATCAAAGAATTTGATGCAAGAATAATCAATCTGTGATAAATTTATCTGTACGCTTTTGTATATTTCTTTGTATATATAGGGTCACAGGATGATCCAAACCAATCGAAGGAACCGACATGTACGTATCATTTATGAAAAATTAAATCAAAAAGTTCTCTATCATTTTACAATTTTCGCAATTTTTTTAGTTGTCCAATAGCAGAACGTTTGTATCGACGCATAAAATAACTTAAGAGTTCTTTAAAAATATATGAGATATTTCATGAAGAACTTTGAAAGAGATTTCAATGTATTTATCAACATCGATTTTATTTGGCAATTTTTAGAAATTATATTTTATTAATAAATATTTTATTAACTGTTGCAAAATAATAAAGGATTTTTCTGATTCAGTTTTTAACAGTACATACATACCACTTCCTCCGGTTAATTTGGATTATTCTGTGTGTGTGTGTGTGTGTGTGTGTGTGTATGCGCGCGCGCGCGTGTGTGCGTGTGTGTGCGTATCTTTATAATTTGAATGATTTTTTAAAATTTAATTTATTTTAAAAATTTGAGACGATAATTTTATTTTGATCGTAATGTTGCTAATCATAATAAAAATAGTAAATGTAATAAATATTAAATTTAAATGATTAAATTTTTAAAAAAATTCGAAAAAATAGAGAAAGAAAAATAGGAAAAAACTAAAAATGCATTAAAAATGAGAGGAAAACTCTTCTACCTCTTAAGTTAACGATGTTTATGATACTGAATTCGTATTATTGGCTATCAGAACATCAAGAAGTTTCTTAGTATCCTCATAATTCATAGAATGTGTATAACCATTCATCTGTAAATCTGATAGATTTGAACCAGTTCCCATAAACATATCGTCTAATTCTAATGGAGGATTATATGTCATAAGTTCACCACCAGCAGATCCATGGACAGAATCTGAAACTATACATTATTGAAATTATCTGCACTTCATCTTATTAATTTTATAAAAATAAATTTTCTTTTAAAGTTTCATAATAACATTATGATGTAATAAATAAATATAAAAAGCATCTTACATTTCTCAAAAAAATGAAATATTTAAAAATACACATAAAATATATATGTATATTTTAATAATTATTATATTTAATAATTTCTTTCTTTATAAGATTTTTTTGTTACTTGCAACTTTTTCTCAAAATTTTTTTGACGAAGAAATATAAATTTTATTAAAAGTTTGAATTCCAGCAATGAAAATTATAAAAAACTTACTATCTTCCTCTTCTTTCCCATAATATGGATTCAATTCTGAATTAAGTGACAATCCAAACGCCATCGGATCATCAGTACTAAATATCTATTAAAAAAGGAAAAATATCAATATTAGCATTTTTAATAAATATTCTTTTTTCTATGAAGAATCTTTAATTGAAGAATCTTTTATTCAATTTTTTCTTCCTTTTTGTTTCTTATATGTAAAAAATTTATACTTACGTCAAGTAAAGTATTAGCATCCAAGTTGCAATTTTCACTCAGCAATACGTCACGGAAAGTGTCCAAATTACTCTGTGTTGTTTCTACATGATTGTTTATTTCTTCCCTATACATAAGATAAAAATAAATTAAAAT